CCCCCCACCCCCTCCAACACACGCACCACCTTCCTCCTCTCTGCCCTCGCAGTGCAAAGATTACGAGGAAAGGATGGCGAATCACGAGCGCATTGTGTAATCGTGCCTTCAAGTGCGTGTTTAGTTCCGAGAGGGCGCAGTTATTAGTCGTGTGTGTGTGTGTGTGTGTGTGTGTGTGTGTGTGTGTGTGTGCAGGGGCAATGAAGGTCAGCGAAGGCACGGCAGAGTCACAAACGTGTCGCCTTGCGAAATGAGGATGGCCAAGTGGCGTTTACACGTGAATGGCGTTGCCTTTCCATCCGGAGGGGATTCAGACTCCAAATTCAAGGCGGATAGGATGCAGATTGTCTATTGCTCGAACACACGACAATTGAGGACAAACGTTTGAACCATTTTTATTGTTCCATGTGATGTTTACATTGCTGCCAAATGCAGAAACCGGATCAGATCCGGTTTAAACTTGCTCTGACGTTACCGTTTAGGACCCTGCGTATGTTGAAGTGAGTTGATTGATCTGGTGAGATTCGACGGAGGTACTGAATGTAAACCCGTCACGATTATTCCCGATTCCCCATACCGAGATCATCCGCGCTGAAAGGTCGATGCCGCCGGTGAAGTCGGTTCTTTGCGGGGCACTCATGACTCCCGCAGGGGATCTCGGAGTAAAACACGCAGCGATAGCACTGCTTGCAGCCAGTGCTGAAAAGAAGTTGTCGGTAGCCGTGGCAACGCAAGATGGCTGCCCTCTGGCTTCAGCTGTGAGAGGCGGTCCAGGTTATTACGGACGTCCGTGATGCCAGTGTTGAATATTCTTGAAAATAAAATGTTGATTGCTCGCCCTAATTAAATGTGGTGTGGTGAAAGGCTTCACGAAGCGCCTTTAATCGGTTCTGTCGTCGGCAAGCCAAGGCTGCTCGGTTAGCACTCTCGAAACCTCATCCTAACTTTCGTCCTCAAGCACTTTTAACAGCAAACCACAACTGCAACAAGTCTTCAATCGTCACCGCAAAACCAGACCGCCCCACTCCCGATAAGTTCCATTGAGACTTGACGTGACTTCATCATGACTCGTGCCCCCATCCCAACCCCCACCTCCGTCATTCCGCTCCACATTCCTACCATGCCAGCTGGACATTCCGCTCTCCACTTGCGCCCCTCCAGCAACAAACGACAGCCGGAGCCTTGAAGGATTCTTTTTCGGACAGTCCACGCAGCGTGACAGGCATTTGACACTGACGTTTGCACGTTTTCGTCAAGTGACAAGAAATCAAGCTCCTCATCGGGGGAGGTGATGTGAGGGCAGAATCCCCGCAGCATCGCTCGGGCGCGCACAAAGGGCAGACGCAAGACTTACGGGTAAGCGGAGGACTTCCGGACGCGCGTCTCAGCGCCGGTCTCTCCTCCTCCCCCGCTGGGAGACACACCGCCCTGTCCGACACCACCGCCGCATTCCCGAGGTGCCAAAAGGAGAACGGGCGTCGGGAGTGCGTGTTGGTAGTCAGCGCGCGCGTCTTTGTGTGTGTGTCTCGTCAACGAGCCGTAGAGGGGAAGCCTACCAGCTGATTGGTTGGAGGGGGGGGGGAATGGGCGGGCACGGGCGGGACCAATGGTGGATGAGATGAGCAGACTGGAGGAGAGATGGCAACAAAGACGTGTTGTTGTTTTGTTTTTTTTTAATGTTTTGGGAATTTCTGATGTCCCCGCTTAACTCCTCATCCCTGCCATAGGAAAAGTGCATCAATGAAAAAAAACAACAATATTATGATGAAAGGAAGATGAATTATACTTTTTTTTTAAGTTATCTGTTGGATTTAATTTCCTACTTGGATACTAGCCGACTCGGATAAGCGGAAGAAAATGTATAAATGGCGATGTAATAGTGGGGGGGGGGCGACTGATTTCAAACACGACTAAATAATCGCCGACTAAATGTGAACGAAACTCTTGTTCGTGGGAAAAAAAGCGCAGCAGAAAAAAACACGGCGTAGAAGAAGACGTGGAGGCCGGAAGACGGTGCCCAAGGAAGAAATTCAAAATGTCTGCTCCGAAAAGCATCCCCAAAGATGCTCAGGTAACTTTGGACCTTTTGTTGCGTCTCTTCGCGTTCGCGCGGCGGTGGGCGATTAATCTACTAAAGTTGTCCAGTTGTTAAACTCTTCTCCGGTGTTGCTACCTGGTCGGCTCGGCCGCAACTAGCTTCTTAGCATGTCCGTTCATAAAAATGCATCTCGTCTGCTTAGCTTAGCCGCTGCTAACCAGACGGCTAAAGTAAAACAGTATTGTTATCACGACTTGTTTGACTGAGGGAGGCTAAGTCACGCTCGGTCAAACTTATTCAGTTAGCACCGGCGTTTGCTTGGGTGATGTTCAAATCATCGTCGCCGTCCACATATTTACCGTGCAAAAGTGTTTTTAACTAATATGTCCTCCGTGTATGTAGTGTTACGTGTTTAATGAATAATCCAAACCCGAAACGATGTACAGTATTTTTAAGGTGATACCATGTGTACAATGATTATTTCAAAGTTGATACGTCGATTCAAAGCCATTCTAAGACGGTATACAATAAGAAATTACGAATGACAAAATGAACAAAACGATTAAAGTGCTTTATTCACAGTGACTGTCTGCAATGATTGTGTTAAGAGCATGAAAAAAATAAGGAAGTTCAAAATGATTAGCAGTTATATAGTGTACAAAATATTTTTGCAGGTAACAAAAAAAAAAGTTTGACACAATTGTCAGGAGTCCATCATATGTTAAAGATGACTATGTAAAAACAAAGTGTATGAAAATGTTTTTTTGGGTGGTGACAATGTGAGTTTTCTTTTCAAACAAGGTGTCTAAAATGTTTCTTTTATTTACTTTCCCTCCAGGTGATGATCCAGATCCTGAAGGACATGGGCGTCACCGATTACGAGCCCCGCGTCATTAACCAGATGTTGGAGTTCACTTACAGTAAGTTGTCGCCACGGCTGAAATACGATGCGAACCTCCCACCTTCATCACGCTGTCCACTCTTCGCAGGATATGTGACGAGCATCATCGAGGATGCCAAGATCTACGCCACGCACGCCAAGAAGTCTAACGTGGATGCCGATGACATCAAACTGGCCATTCAGTGCAGGATGGACCAGTCATTCACGTCGCCGCCGCCCAGAGATGTAAGGAAACATTTTGTTGTGTGGCGTGTGCGAGTGTATATTTAGATATGTAGCCATGATGGAGCGTGCGTAGGTATTTGTTGGTTGGCATGGGGATATGCGTAGGTGTGTGTATGTTCCGAGCCTTGGGTGTGATGACCGAAGGTGTTTTGCGTGTCCTTCAGTTCCTGTTGGAAGTGGCCAGACAGAAGAACCAGACGCCGCTGCCCCTCATCAAGCCCTACACGGGTCCCCGCCTGCCCCCTGACCGCTACTGCCTGACCGCCCCCAACTACCGCCTCAAGTTTCTCCCCAAGAAGGTGGCGTCGGCCGGCAGGATATCAGCACCCCGCCTCAGCGCCGTCTCCAGCAGACCGGCTACACCCACGCTCGGTCAGTTCCCGCCTACGCATCTGCGATGTCGTGCCCCGTTTTGTTGGAATGTATAATGGGCAATCAGGATGACCGTGCATCTGGCATGTACACAGTCAGGAACCCATGTTGCATAGATAAACGGAATTAGGGCGTAAAATTACTCAACAGAGCAAGTCACCTTCACACAAGGCTCATCAAGACTAACTTTGCTTATTCACTGCTGCGCACTTGTTTGGAGGGGCGGGGCTAATACTCACTGACCAGAGACGCCGCGTCGTCTTTGCAGGAAACACGTCGGTTCAATCGGCGGGTGGCGGCAAGGCGGGAACCCCGGTGTCGCTGGCGGGTCAGAGGTTCGCCGTGCAGATCCCGCCTCCCTTGCAGAGCGGCAGTACTAAAAGCGGTAAACGTCCGATGAGGCGGTCGCCGTGTCGGCTCGCCATTCCGGGCGACCAATCAACTGTCCTTTCCTTGCAGCGCCGCTCAGCACGCCCGCCGCGTCCAGCGTGCTCATCAACTCTTCTCTGATTGGCTCCAAGAACATCCTCATCACCACCAACATGGCGGCTCAGAGCGCCGGCGGTGGCGAGTCGCTCAAGAGGAAACACCAGGATGACGACGACTACGACGCCATGTGACAATACGCAACAGGGCACACAAACGTCCCCTCTCGCGCTCACACACACGATCGCACTCGGCATTCTTTGCTGCTGCCGCACCAAGACAAACTTTCAAGCTCTGCCGCATTGACGACACAATGACTTTTTGTTTTGTTTTTCACCTTTAATCCTAAAAACAATTTCAAATAAAATAAACCATGTGAATGATTATAACCAAGCATTTAAGTCACTTCCTGTTTGTGGCAAAAAGTTAGCGCACACGTTTTGACACATCACGCGCGTCGCAAAAAAGTTAGCGCACATGCACGACTAAAAACGACCACGACGACCAATCACGGCACTGCAAAGAACATGCTCCGCCTCTTTCCATTTTGGGGCGTGGCCAACCATTGCAGGGAGCAAAAAAAAAATCCAACGCAAACGACGCAAAAAAAAAAAAAGCTGAAGTGTTGATTTGATTGTTTGTTTTGACCCATGATGCAATCGATGCCACAGGAAACACTTCTTACTGGCTGAATGGGATCATGGCACTCAAGAAAATGTATGTTTGGAACTTTCAAAATGGAAAAGGCTGAGACGGGAACTGAGGCGGAGAATGCCACCGGCCGCTCGAATTATGTGTGGCGGGGGGCGGCGGCACAGGAATGTTGCAAGTGATGTGGACGGCGGGTGACCCCCCCCACTCCTCTCCCTCCTTCAGGTATCAACACCTTTTGAAAATCAACAATTCTGTATAAGACACCATCATTGCTGCGGGGATAAAAAAAAAAATGCTGCACATTCAAAAGGATTTCCAAACTAAAAAGTATTGTAGCTTCCTTTTTTTTGTTTACATCCTTCAACTGACAGTGTTACGCTTTTTTGAATAGCCCAGCAAACAAAGGTTTGATTTTTTTTTTTTTTTTCTGGTCAACTATTACAAGGAAGAAAAAAAAGGAAGGTCAAAGAAAACCTGTTTTGACAATCAATGATACTTTGACAGCAAATACGGGTTGTGATTCACCTCACAGTTCAGGCGTGGTTTGAATTTACCTTCGGAGTTTTCAGGGTGAGGTCAGTTGAAACCCGTTTTGTCCATCTGACAGCAAATGCAGGTTCTCAACCGCCCTTACCTTTTTTTTTTTTTCAGCAAACGGTGACCAGTGGCGGCAAAGAAAGCTTTCGACCGGCCTTCGATGTCGCAAGGCGACTGAAAACCTCCTTGCGGCCCCCCGAGCGCCGTTTGCTCAAAAGCGGAAGGTCGACGAAAACCTCGACTTGCTGTCAATACGCAAAGAACCTGGGAAATCCCATCGGTGAAGATCCTTCGATCAAAACAAAACGCGGAGAAGATGGCGCGGCGGATCACCCAGGCGGTGCCCAATTTTCGGCGCCCTCCGTCCTTCCGCCGGGGAATGTAACGTGCCTGTGCATACGTGTGTGCGTGTACGTGTGTGCGCGGACGTGCGTGGAGGAGCGGGCGGGCCGCTCCTAGCAGTCCTCGTCTTTGTCGTCCACCACCCCTTTGAGGCGCAGGCGGGCGAAGTCCTCAAAGACAAAGTCGTCGTCCTGGGAGACGCTGCTGAGGAGAATCGACTTTATGGCCACGCTGCACGTGCTCGACACGACATCTTGGCGCAGGTACTCACTTGGTGTCAAACTCGATCAGGTTGGTGTCGATGGGCGGGTCCGACTCTGGCACGGCTGACCGGCGCAAACACACACACACGCGCGCGTACAGGTTAGCGAGTTGCGCGGCTGGCGATTCGAGGTCACGCGCGCGCACTCACCCGACTGTGGGCGCGACGCGGGCGGCTCCGCCGGTTTCGGGTGCATGAGGATGAACGGCAGCTCCACCGACACGTCGCTGTGACGGACAAGCGAGGGAGGGGTGAGGAGGCGCGTGCACGCACTCGCGCACACAATTACTTCCGCCGCTACTTCCTTCACCCACACACAAGCAAACTTTTGCGATGACTACTCACACGCTTAAATGACTGTGTGCACATTTTAGTGACTTAGTTACACCACACACACACACACACACACACACACAAGGTGATACAGTACCCTCCACGCGAGACCACCAGCTTGACTTTGACCCTGTAAGACACCAGGATGCCCAGCACCTCCTTGTTGGTCACATCCTTGACACTGAAAGACACGCGCATGCACACACACACACACACATCAGTATCAAGTGCGTGCGTGTGTGGGCGGGCGGGCGTGCACGTTACATCGTGGAGGAGGCCAGGTTGGTGTCTTCGTGTTTGAGCTTCCCGTCCAACGCCAGGCCTCGCTTCTCGCGGTTCTTGTCCAGGGTGGGCGTCAGCGTGTAGACTTTGCAGAATGTCGAGCTGGACGACACCTGGTCGCTGACGCGCACACGCACAACACATCTGTCAATTCAAAGCTCCCCCGTAACGCACCGAGAAAGCGCAACAGCACCGCGTTACGTAAAAGCGACGATTGTTTGCATGCGCGGCCTTGCCGGCGGCCGGCGCACGACTGGCCGATTAGCTTGCGCGTGAGCGTCTGGCCTTGAGTTGTGGCCCAAAGCGGCCCCTCGCTAGCGCTTTCGGTTTGTACGTTTGGGGCCTTGCGATACGAGTTCCTTTTGTTTCTTGCCCGAATTTGGCTCAGAACAGGAAAAACCCGTACGTTGGGGCACTGGTAAAGTACTCCGAGACGCTCAAGTTAGGGGTGACGTTTTCCGCTCACGTGTACTTACTCGGCCTCCAGCTGCGCCACGGGACATTTGTACTGCGCCGTGCTGAACAAACAGATGTCAGCGTACTGGCGCACTGCGGGGACAAGGACACACAGAACGCACATCCGGGGTCAAGGTAGTGCCGGGCGATACGACCGCAGATATGACATTTTTATCTACCCCCCCCCACCCCACCCCGCCCCTCACGCACCCCTTTCCCCACTTTGCTTATAGAAAAAGCACCTGACGAGTTTGGACTTTTGCTTTGATTCTAACCTGTCATTTGTTTTCCCAACATTAACATTGCTCAACTTCCACGGAAACTTTGGAAACAGGCTGACAGCCCACAAACAGCTCGGCTTGGTTTACTCAATTGCCACAAGATGGCGCCAAAGCGCTGGCAAAATAGCAATTGCTGTCAATGCGCAACAATAATTCGGCGACTGCATCCAAGAAATAAATCCAGGAAATAAAACATTTGATAAAATTCGATAAGTTGAACCCCCCCCCCGCCCCCACCAAAAAAAAGAAGAATTGACTACTGAAATATTTGAAAACTCAAAAGAGATTTTGAAAAAGTGCTCGGTGGAGGCTGACCTGAGATCTTGACCCTCTTGACGGTCTTGGTGGAGTTGTTGGTCACGTGCACGTTGACGCTGATGGGCTCGCCGTGGTAGTAAAGCTGACAGGTTGGCGCACGCGCGCACACACACCCGCACACACTGGTCACTTAACATGCTTTCTCCCTCACTCCGAAAGTGCGCGTCTGTCTACCTCCTTGTCCAGCGAAGCCTCCAAGTGCAGCGACCTGTCTGACATCAGGAAGCTGCGAGTGGTCTCCACCATGGGCTGAGGCCCCGCCTTCTCCGGCGCGTACTGCACCTTGCGGATCACCAGACGCACAGAGTTCCTGTGCGCACACGTGGAGTGGGAGACGGGAGTCAGTTCAGAAGTGAGTTGGGGGGTGCGGGGGGTTCAGGACGGCGTGAGTGAGTGAGTGAATAAGAGAAAAGTGAGGGAGGGAGTGCCTGAGCGAGTGAGCGAACACGGGTGAGTGAGTGACAGAGTGAATGAGAGCGAGTGACTTAGTTGAGTGAGTGAGCGAGTTCAGCACTCACCTCTTGTGGATCTTCTCCTCCATGTTCTTGGCACAGAATGCTCGGATCTCAAAGTCCACACCGCACGCCTGCGTGCACACACGAGCCACACCTATGTGAGTTCACCGATCATTTGGGAAGAATTGATCCCATGATTGATTCATCGGGTCAGAAAGCAAAAGCGCAGTCGTGCCTGCGCCAGCTCAACTGTGCTCCACTTTTCCAAAGCTCGTCGTACCGGGGAAAGCCTCTGATGCCCTGCCCACTTGTGATGTCACTACGTTTGCCTTTTGCCCCCATCAAGTGACCTTTCCACCTTGTCAAGTTTACCTTGCCGGTGTCTTCGGGTCCGGGCTGCAGCGTGACGGAACACGGAAGGTTCTGAGGGATCTACAACACACACACACACACACACACACACACACACACTTTAAGGATGCCTTCTCACACACTCACAAACTCTCTCACACTTCTGTGACAACTTCACACATGCACACAAACCCCCTCAGACACGCACTTTAGTGACTGCTTCACACACGCGCGCACGCACACACCATGTGGCACCTTGTCAGTGACGCCATCATGGCACCAAGCCAACTGTGTGTGTGTGTGTGTGTGTGTGTGTGTGTGTGTGTGTGTGTGTGTGTGTGTGTGTGGGCGTGCGCACTCACAGTGAAGTAGAAAGGGTGCGCGTGCTGCCCCAACTTCTTGAGGAGCCGCTCCTGCAGTCGACTGTTGGCTTTGCGCTCTTCGGGGACGGGCGGGAAGGCCTGTAACAGGAAGTGACATCACGTGAGTGCGGCGGATCTTGGGCGGCCGGCGAGCGTGACCGAGTGGCGGCGACCTGGAAGGTGGAGATGTACAGGTCCTTGCGGAAGGACAGACCCAGCACGTCCAAGTCCTCGCGGCCATAACGGAACGCGCAGGTCAGCGTGACGAAAACTACGTGCGGGAAAGACAGGAAGCGTGAGCAGAGCGCTAGGAAGAAGAATTTGAAAATAGCGTCCTACCTTTCCTGTCCTTCAGGTACTCGGGATCCACCAGGATGACACCGTCTGTCCACACGGAGACAAAACGGCGACGGCTGTGGTGACGAGCGGCAGACCCGAGCAGGAGGAAGGTCACGTGACGGAGCATCTGACTCACCTACTGGATCCACATGGTCCAGGTGGTCCACAAAGTCCCGCTTGCCCAGGTAGACCGTCACCTGCCCACACCAGACCGCAACTGTGACGCATTCACATTCTCGAACCCTCGAGTGAGCTTATTTGCACTGTGATTGACCTCACGCCAAATTTTGTAGAAGCTTTCATTCAACCTTCAAAATCCTTCCAAGGCCTCGTCGCCTTCGACACACCTTTGCTTTCCAGAACCTACTGATCACCTTCCGGTAGGAAGGGTGCCCAAGCACGGTCCTCGGAAGCCCCCCATCCGGCCTGGTTGAGACGTCTCCAACACAGGCCATTCAAATGAACGGGAACGTTCTCTGGCTTCTGCAAAGCTTGCCGATGAGCTGATGGGAGACATCCAAAACAGGCTGGATCGGGCCTCTCGAGGCCCGGACTTGGGCACCCCCGACCTTGAGCTTCTCAAACCTTCTAAATTGCCTTCCACAGCCTGATCGAGACCCTCCGGTGAGAACCAACAAGTTACCTTCTACAGCGTCTACAACCCTGTCGTAAGCTTGGGCTCACCTTACAGTTTGGACTGGATTTCTTGAAGACTCTAAAAGAGGAGGAGGAGGAAGAAGAATCAGTGTCTGGTCATTTGACAGGAAGTGTCCCAGCGGAACAGGAAGTCACAACATCAGGTGAGGAGATGTCGCTCTGCCGACTTCACCCGTGAGCTAACAGGACGGATTTTCTTGAAACGGGAAGTCACTTTTCGACTTTAGGGGATTTGTCAGGGGATGGAGCCAATGCACGAGTGTTGTCAAAACGGCTAATCACTTCCTTTCTCACACCAAACAGGAAGTAGCTGCGTGTCAAAGCAGAAGTGTCACAACACAGGAATTAGCTTTTTTTTTTTTTTTTTTAACATACACTTGTAGAAATATTTTTCACTTTATCAACATTGTTATAACGATTTCTGGCACGAGGTGCGATGATTCACCTGTCGCGCACGCACGCGCGCCGTATGCTGACACAGCGGGTGGAGCAGGTGAATTTATTCCAATGAGACGTAAAAACCAATATTAAAACAGCAAACATGCCGCCGGGTGTCTCCGACGTTTCGAGCGTCTTTAGAAAAAAAATAATGGCAATCTGCACACTTAAAACGCAACAATTTACAGCACGTTTTCCCATTGGAAAGCTCATTCGTCGGCGTGAAAACGCACACGTACGTTCAGAAACAAACATTCAGAGGCTATATTTCTATCCGCTTTATTTGACCTCGCTCAAAATAACAGATGTTGTTCAACATCCACCTTGGGGGATTTGCTTCAAATCATGCATCGCGGATAACACGAACGACGCTGAAAACGCGCACCGTGTATTTTTGTTTCACGATACCTGCGACCTTGCGTAAAAAATGAGCAGCTTTAATGGGAATTGCGACTACAACGACGAAAAATCAAGACGTGTTCTGCGACCGTAGCGGAGACACAGCTGGGGCTAGTAGCTAGCCCGCTAGTTAACCCCACCCTGCTGCGCGCGCCGCGCCCCCCCCCCCGCGGGGGCCCCCCACCCCCCCCAAAAAAAAAAAAAAAAAAAAAAAAAAAAACACCAAAAAAATAAATAAAACCCACCACCAGCGATAGCCTCTTTGAGTCGAAAAGAGTCACGACTTAGACGCGCAGATCGCCGCCACGGCATGACGAGCACCCATTCGGGCCAACGGCGTGATGCTAACTAGCCCGCGGAGGCTAGCGCGTTCGCTCACCTCGTACCCGCCTTGTCGCCCATCTCCGCGGCTGGCGGACGTCAAGAAGGGCCGGAAGAGACGAGCCCGGACTCGGTTGCTTGTGTCGTTGGGCTAGAAAGGACTTAGGTTATTGTTGTTTTTTTTTTGTTTTTTTTTGGGAAGGGGGGAGGTGCCAGCGGGCGGCGTTCAACCTTCCATCCGCCTCGGCGAACCGCTAAGCGGGTATGCTAATTTCGCGGAGCGCCTCCTCAGCTCGCTGCCACTTCCGCGAGGGCTGCAGCGCTATTTGCCTGCTTCGCTCGCCGCTCTTGTGTGAGCGCGCGTGCGTGCCGCGGCTGCAGATGATCACGTTGCGTCAAACGCGACGCTCGCACGCACGCACACGACGTCTCTCCGTGACGAATTTGCGTGCGCGTGCCGTAGAATGCAAAGTCGTGTGGAGGCGCCTCGAGATACGACACTCATTGGTTTCGTGACAGCGCCCGTATCTCAAAACACTCAGCTCTTATTTCCCCGATTGAAATGAATGGGAATGCAATTAATCCGTTCCGGCCACCACAAAACAAGTTTGACTCATTCGGTCAATTTGGTTGCTCGTCTCTGCGAAGTAGCGATGTAGTGTCAAGCAGTTATTGTCGTGTCTAGTGTGGTGTAGTGGTGTGTAATAAATACTGTCGTGTGTGTGTGTGGTTTAGTGCTGTGTGTAATGTCGTGTTCCGTTGAGCAGTTTTGTATTGGACTTTGTGGTGAAAAGTAGTATGTCCAAGTGTAATGAATAGTGTGTAAATAGCGTCTGGTCTTGTGCACGATCGTGTACAATGCATTGTGGTGTATTTCTCGTAATGTGTAGTAATGTATGCAATTAAGCATTTGGTTATGTCATGTTCATGAATTGCTTAGTACTGTGCGTCACAAAAACTGCAGTGTGTAACACGGTAGTGTGCGATGTGCTGTGTAGCGCGGCATATTGTAGTGTCATGGTAATTGTAGTATAGCATTGTGTGGTGCATCATATAGTATCGATAAGAATGGAGTGCAGTACTCATATAAAGCAATGTGCCACGTTGTACTGATTAGTATAGTGTTGTACTGGGTTTTCCCATTGAGTACTATAGTGTGAGGTCAAGTACTGTCTGAGTATTGTAGGGTCTCGTGTGGTGTAGTAGTGCTAATATTTCTTTATGTTAAAAAGTAAACACAAAAGTCCTACGCAATACAGTATAATGAATTGAAATTAAAAATCATTCTTTATTGTGGTGACATCATCTCATCACCACATCATGATGTCGTCGTGTTTGCAACGCAAAAGAAATCAGTTCCGTCCGCCGCCTGCGGGAGCGCTGCCGCCACCTCAGATGCGGATAGCGTACGAGTCCGAGTGCGTGACGTAGCGCACCCAGCGCTGGGTGGGGCCGCGATGTTGCGTGGGCACCAGGCGCAGGAAACGCACGTGGAGGCCGCTGGCCGTGACCTTGGGCAGCTCGAAGGTCAAACACACGGGACCCACCTCCATCATGGAGGCGGAGCTTAGGGCGGGAATGTCCAGCTGGGGGAAAACGATGCCGATACAACAAGATCGAACGTGACCATATTAACATAAATTTTTTTTGAGAAAAAAAATGAACAAAAGCAGTGAGTGGGTGAAAAAACACAAATGGTGTCAACAAAGTGTTGTCATTTTTCATTTGTGTGTTTGGTCGTTTGCCCCGTCCAATAATCGCAGTCCCCCTTTATCGCTCCGCTCGGGCGACGGCGTAGTTATCGCTGCGCTTTTGCGTACCTTGAAGACGGCGGAGAGCTGCGTTCCCCCGGGGAAGCGCGGAACTTTCCAGACGACGGCTCGGTTTTGCGGCTGCAGCTCGGCACTCTGATCGGGACTGCTGAGTTCCTGCGACAAACTGACAGGAAGTGGCACGATCAGGCATGAAGTTGAAGCGGAATATCTTAGCCTTGATGATTAGCCTTGAGTAGGAATGGCCGATTCTCCAATTGACTTCCCTTTGATTTGGGCTACAGGTGCAACTGTTAATCGATTAATGAATGACGAAATTCACCAACAACCGCTTTGATAATTGATGAATCGTTTCGACGTCAAATTGTCCAAACCTTCGGATTTCAGCCTCTCATTTAGTAAATATTGGCCCAGTCCTGCAGTCCTCCACGAAAGCAGACTGACTGAGAGAAGTTCATTTTTGCTCAGAAAAAAGAAACAAATCTGACCGGAAAAATCAAAGGAAATGAGAATTGTCGTGAGAAAAAACAAAATCAAGTGGGTTTCCATTCCGGTTTAGCCTTCCGGTTTCTATGAAAACGATGCGTGTTGTTGCTCATGAGCGGCCTCGCGCGTGCGGGGGGCTTTTTCATTGACAGCACCTGTCATTCAAATGTTATGGCCTCATTCAAATCGGAGCAAATTTGCTTACCTGATGCAACCGTTGGGAACGCGGATGCTGGCGCTCACGTTGACCGCCGAGCTGCACGCACACAACGTCGCCGTGTCAACACAACAAGCATCTGAGACTGTGCGTGGCCGCAGAGTTGTCCAAACGTGTCTCGGTGCCTGTTCGTGTCCGGGGTGTGCGCGCCCGTGTGTGTGTGTGTGTTTTTTTTTTTTTGTGTCGGCATGCATGCGCGTGCGGGCGTCCGTGTGCATGTGTATATCTCGGTACGTGTGCGTCGGTGTGCCGTAGTGCGCAGGTGTTTGCGAGTGAGGTCACATTTGACTTGGCGTGAGCGAGCATGTGTGCGTGTGTCTATGTGTATGTGTGTTTGCATTTGTGCACCCGCGTGTTTATGCCATGTGACAGGAAGTGACCTTTTTGGCGGCAGGTCGCAGCGTAGCTTGAAGAACATCAGCAGCCTGCGAGACAAACGCGGCGCATGAGAGAAAACAACAGGAAGTGGCCGTCAGCGCAGAACCTAACCTCCCTCTCCTTCCTGTCCGTCTTCACTCTGACACTAGGGGGCGGCATCCGGCACGTGCCTCCTCTTACCTCCCCTGAGGAGCTCTGCCGAGTGAGTCGGTTACCTTCCGGCGGCGTCCTTCTCGATGGCGGGAAAGAGTCGGAAGGGCGGGGCCAAGGGCAGTCGGTCAGCCAGTCGGTACTGCATGACGCTTTGCTTTCGGGAGCGGGACGAAGGTCAACATGTTGAGGCCACCACCCTTGTCCCCGGCAAGAGCGGCCAATCACGCTCGAGCCTGGGCGGGCCTTACCTCGCCCTGGCCGGGGCTGATTCGCAGGATGCGGTGAGCCTCAAAGTCATCCAGTCGGACGGCTGGGTGGAAGCTGCACTCGTCCACGCGGACTGCCGCGCCGTAACCTGGACCCGGGGAAATTGCCTCAGCGCGTTTCCTCTTTGCTCGGCTCCAGCGCTTTTATTTTGTAGGGCGGCGGGCCAGCTGACCTGCGAGATGTGAGCCGCCGACGCTCAAGTCCTCGTTGAGGCCGATGCGAATCTCTGCCGCAGAGCAACGTGGCGTGAGGGGACCCCCGCTGGACATTACGAAAAGCCACAGAGACCCCCAACCCTCGACACCAACCCAAGTCAAGTCCACCCTGCCCGATTTGCATAGCGCCAATCGCCAACTCAAGTACACAATTTAAGTAGATGATTACAGGCTAGCATAATTATTAGCTACGAGAAAATGCCTCGGATCGATACATTTAGATTTTTTTTTTTCTATGTGGCGGCACAATTTGATCACGTTTTTTTCAGGTTGCTATCAGCAAAAACGTTTTTGACATTCTCTCGTACTCCGTCGCTCGACTCACCCGAGCAGCTGGGCAGGAAGCACTTGACCTTGACCTCACCCTCCACCTCCGCCTTCATCAGCACGCCCTGCACACAGCGCACTCAGTGCACCCGTTCAGGCCCCGCCTCCGCCGCGCTGTCGATCCTACTCACGCTGGTGCTCATGACAACGGACATCCTCTCAATGACGTCCACAAAGATCTCACTTTTCCCTCCCTGGACACACACGGAGGTAGGGCTGGGACCTAAAATCAAATCTTGCCATTTCCAAACGTGTTTTGGAGGTTCCGCGATGCAGTACCTGCAGAGGCCTGGTGGCGGCAGAACTGGGCGCCACTTTGCTCTGTTGCGTGTCGGCTCCAAACTGCGGCGGGACAAGAACGCGGAGGTCATGGAGGAGGTCGAGCGGGCGGCGACGTACGTGTCAGCGGCGGCCCCGCACCAGCCCCACGTTGGCGAGGTCCAACAGGCTGAAGGGTCGCGATGACAGCGCCTCCGTCTGGATGAAGTTCTTCAGGACGTCACATGACGTGGACTGCACATAGCCGTAATCCTGCAAACAAATAGACGCTTTTGCTCAGTTTTGACGACAGATGTTTGACACGATTGTCAATATTTCATTTTATGTGTTCTATGGTGTTCGTTATTTTTTCTGATAAATGTTCCAGCTTGTTCGATCTGCAGGTGTTGTGAAAGCACTACAATATATAAATAAAGATGAACTGTACTGTGTATATCTATCTATCTATCTATATAGATAGGTGTGTGTGTGTGTAGATACAGTATATATGACACACCAGCATCTCATCCAGAAGTTCATAGATGAGCGCAAAGTTCATCTGCACCGTCTTCTCCGACAGAGCACCGCAGTAATCTTTGATGAGCGCAGCCAACCTGCCAACGCACGCACACACGCTGTCACATCCTGTGCCCGCCTATGTCACGGTTGCCACGGTGATGCGCCGCACCTGTTGAGGAAGTCGATGATGGCAAAGGGGGACGAGTCTGCCGCGATGGTGGTGGCGACCAGGTACAGTCCTCCCTGCCACACGTGCACAAAGTGGACGTTTCTGTGCGTCTGGGGACAAGAGCGGGCACACATGCAAGTGAAAGTGAACGCACACATGGACAAGTGTACACACTGCAGGTTACCATGACAACAGGAGGCTGGTCTCCAGTCAGCGCCGTCACTTTGTCATAAAAAAGGCCAACAGCGTCACTCCCGATGTCTCCCCGGACTGCCGGATGGGTGCGGAGTCAAGTTGACAAATGTGCAGGTGAATGGAACAGTCTAATTTGTCCCTGGGTGTGTGCCCTGCGATTGGCTGGCAACTAGTTGAGGGACCCCCACACCCCGCGACCCTTGTGGGGATAAGTGGATCAGAAACTTTAAATCGTTCAACAGAATGACCAAAACATGAGTTCTCAGTGCCTCATATAGTAAGTCCCCTGGTTTGAAGGATACAGTCTTTGTAGACGAGGCGGTCGCCTTTCGAGGACAAGATGAAGACCTGCGCAATCATCCTGGGGCTGAAACACACGCACAAAAAAAAAAAAGTACAGCATAAATGTAATGTTTATCTCCATCGGTTTGCGTGCTTCACTTACCGTCTTCAGGCTTGTCAAAAAAATGAAATCTGTCAATGAAATTATGTCAAGCCATTGGATCTCACTTCGTGTTTTGAACGAGACGTCAATATTTTATTATTTTCACATTATAAACATTAATTCATAACTCGAGCAATATCCGATAAAAAAACACATCCAAATGCGAACGCAAGTAAGCAATTTCAAAAGCGTTGCGTCCGATGTAGTGGATTTTGAATGTTCAACGTACAGTAGCTTCGAGCTTGTTGTTGACAAAGCGTTTCGTCGTCACAGTGCACAGCACCGCCTACCGACCAGGCGGACCGCTCACTGGTTTCATTTTTATGGTTTCACCGAATTAGTTTGTGTGAGCTTATCGTAAAAGGAGCGATACATTTTCACATTATATTCTAACCAACGCTTATTTGGAGGTCTCTCAGTGCATAGAATTGGAAAACGTGAACGGTAATAACAGTACAGACCTCCAATCAGCAGGTGGAAGTAGAAGCACGAACCTTGACCCGGAAGTATTTTTTGTCTTTTTGTCTGGGAGAGAACTCCAAACATTTTTACAATGAAGTGAGTTTTTCCCATTCCTCTTTTCTGTAATTCATATTAATAATATGCAAATAGCTATGTGTGCGTGGTTCGTGTCTGTTGACCTTTTCGTTGTCGCGTTTTATTGTTCGCACGTTCTCCTTTTTTACCGGCCTGCCGCTGCTAACAGCTAACGTGGCTATGAACAAGGTGGACGGCAGTTGACTTGTAAAGAGCTCCATCATAAAATGTTAAAAAGGACACGTGTCGATGAGATAAATCATCAAATAAAGAGTTTGATAATCATTTCTGACTTCTGCTCGTATCGCTCACACGTTTTCTTCAATATCGTTGTCTAGAAACACAGCTAAAATGAAAATAATCATCATAAGAATAATAGGAAGCGAAATGGCAGTACAGTGTTTGGCTTGCGCAGAACTTTTAGGGTGAATTGTTGGGGGCGAAAGTATCATTTTGTGTATTTTATTGTATTTGTTTTGGTGTGTGTCTCAGTCCGTTGACCAAAGTGAAGCTTATCAACGAGCTCAACGAGCGGGAAGCTAACCTGGGGATCAACGAGAAGGCTTCATGGCACAGCGAGTACAAGGACAGCGCCTGGGTATTCATAGGTAAGAAGACCAAGATGATGATGATGATGATGATGAAGTCGGGTTCACCATCTTCTTTTTCCCCTGCAGGAGGTTTCCCTTACGAGCTGAGTGAAGGCGACATCATCTGCGTCTTCTCGCAGTACGTTCCATGCTGTCTTATGGTATTGTTTTTAGATCCCGCGCCGAGACTCACTTGGACTGTTTTGTCCCGCCAGGTACGGCGAGATCGTCAACATCAATCTGGTGCGAGACAAGAAGACGGGCAAGTCCAAAGGCTTCTGCTTCCTGTGTTACGAGGACCAGAGGAGCACCATCTTAGCGGTGGACAATTTCAACGGAATCAAGGTGACACCACAGCAGCATTAACATTAGGGCAGGGCCAGATTTTCACAAAAAATGCCATTCTGGGGATATTAAGAGCAAATCATTTCCCCAATATCATAATTAGCCAAGTTTAGTCTAGCTTGCTCGATTCAACCTTTGCAGCACACTTTGACCTGGATGGCTGACAATCTAGAAAACAATTTTCAGCAAGCATTTTTTAAAAAAAATAATATTCAGTCATTGATGTACCAGCCAGGCCATGGAACCAATTAAATTTGTAAGTCGAAGGGGCCACTGTCACCTGAGTGGATCAAGTCAAGAAGTGACCAAGCCCACTTTGTGGTCCCATGCCAGATCAAAGGTCGCACCATCCGCGTGGACCACGTCCGGGACTACCGCCCCCCCAAAGACCACGAAGATATCGATGATGTGACACGGCGCCTGAGGGAGGAGGGATGCGCTCCCTCCATCACCAACGCCCCGCCTGCCTCCCCGTCCTCCTTGTCGCAAAACGATGACGTCATCCCCGTGAAAAAGAGCAAGAAAGGTGAGCTCACATCCTCTTGATGCACGTGTGCGCGTGTGTGTGTGTGCCTGACATGATTGTCATCGCTGCAACCTTCTCCTCCTGTAGATAAGAAAGAGAAGAAGAAGAAGAAAGAGAAGAAGGAGAAAAAGAAAGAGAAGAAGAAAGCGAGCCGAGCGTCGTCATCGTCGTCCTCTGCTTCTCCTCATCCTGCTGCTGTGAGAGTGAAAGAGGAGAAGGAGGACGCTGCCTACGACAAGTATGACCAGAGGAGGGCGCCGGTCGAGAAGGACAGATGGAGAGGAGAGGAGGGGAGGCGACGAGACGAGGAGAGAAGAAGGGAAGATGACCAGAGAAAAAAAGGACATGAGGAGAAAAGACGGGGAGATTCCGAGAGAAGACGGGGAGAGCATGAGAGATACAGAAGGTGACCTTGGTGACTTCTGGGCGAATGCTGGAATCTTTTTTTATTTTCCTTGGATACATTGAAAAATTATTTTTGGGGCTTAAAATTATGTTGGACAAACACAATTTGTCTTTTTTTGGGGGGTGGGGAGGGGACTTTAAAAGCAAGCATAGTAATCATATTTTCTCTGACTTGCTGCTTTTTGGGACTGAACACACAGAGTCCCTCTTTGGCCCCGCCCACCTGAGCCTCTCCCCGCTCAATTAACCTTGACTCACCTCCAAGGTTGGCCAGGAGGATGAGGATTAGCATCGCATCTGGTCTGCACGAGCTCCAGACTCCTCTCACACAAATCTTTGCCACTTTCAAATGAGTCACCCTCGCTCTTTTGTAGCTTAGTTAGATTTTTGTCTTTTTTGGGGGGAGGGGGGGGGTTGCTCCACAGTAGAAAGAGTGAACTCCCCTTCAACTTTTCTAACACACCTCCTAAAATAAAAGGCAAGTAAATGTATATTTAAAAAGATCTTCAACCAAAGCGTGCGCTCTCTCTCTCTCTCTGCGTAACGAAGTGAAACCCCAAATTCACACTCGGCTGTACTCTGTAAAAAAAAGAAAAATGTTTTGAAATCTTGCTTACACTTCACCTTACTTACTGTAATGACATAATCACAGTCATCGTGGATTAAAAAATAAATACATATATTGCTGGATTTTCATAATAACAAATGAATGATTTTTGTTTTCTCTTTATATTTGTGTGAAATCAAGTTTATGTGAGGCTTTCTTTTAACATATAGTTGCAACGATTGTCCACCAGATTGCACCAAAGATGCGTTGTCATTTTGCGCCACGATCCAGGCCGATGTGAACGGTGCGGTATCGGGAAAAGGTGTTGCTGACGACCAAGATGATGTTGGGTCTTTTGAGACGGAACAAGTTGAAGCAACTTTTTCCACCAGGTATCGCCAACAGGACAACGTTCAAATGCACTTGCATTGTCGTCTTCCATTTCATTGAACGCCACTCTGACGTGAGCCGCACTTTGAACACTGACCCCTGTGCTTAAAAAGGGGAAAATAAAAACACCTTTTCCGTGGTGAATCGATTTAAATGTGTTGGACATGACAATTAAATTTAAAAAAAAAAACAATACCACTAGAGGGAGCTAGTATCCATAACGCCGAAAAGTAATTTTTATTTTATTTTTTTTTTAAGTGCCCCAGTGTGTGTCAATCCATTTCCCACTAATCCCTTAATCTCTACTTTACAAAGTTTACTCTTTCGGGTTAATTTGAAGGAGGATGGCCCAAAGATGAAGGTCACCTTGCGCAGGCAGCAGGGGTTGTGAGTTCAAGCCCCCCTGAAGACTGCCCTCTGCTCCACTGGACGCCTTGTTCATTCCTATTTTGCTTCTTTTTGTGTTGTATTGGCAATTTATGTTCTGTGCCGTCTTTTGTCGTCTTCTATCTTGCTCGATTGTGTTTTCTTGTGTTCTGTTGGGCCCTGGATGGCTTGTGTACCAGAGCGTCAGAGGTCGAGGGTCAAATGGGGCGTCAAGAGGACGGCGTGTGGCGTTGAGGTTTCAAACAGCTCCTGATGCGTGTTACCACAAAATATTACCGGTTGAATTCTTCCTCTTTTCTTCAGTTCACGCTGGACCTTCTCGCCATTGGCGGGAGGAGGAGGAGGAGGAGAAAGCACGCAACCTCCTCATACATCAGCGACTCATTCTCTCTCACGGCAGCACTCGTCCTGGCAACCAAGAGGAAGAAAATAAGTTTGACGATGAAGATGGCGCGTGGCTGCTTCGTTGCGTTTCTTCTCCTCTTTCTTCCCGGTAAGACAAACTTTCCTTTTATTGTGAACAACTTTTCCTTCTTCACGTGAGCAATAAAATAAACACCATTTGCAAGTCCCAGTGTAGGGGTCCCTCAAGGATCAATTTTAGGGCACATTTTGTTCAGTATAATTGACCTTCCCAAAGTCTGTCCAATTTTTAGACGAACTTGATCTGTAATTATTTTTTATCAACATGGCGAGAGACCGCAGAGGCTAACGAGCTGTTCGTTAACTACAATCCGTTTTCTTCTAATTCCACGCATTCCCTGCAGAAAAGAAAAACAATACGATGAAATGAAAACATTTGATTTTGTGTCTTTCGCGGACCACAGGAATTGTGGCGCACGTGGCCGACCTAATGTCCATGTTTGTACATGAGGCGCTAACGACCGGGAGTCACTTGTCATAATTTATCTGAAGGTCCTTGAAATGAGCTAGCCGCTGCCTTGTATGTGCAACCACGATCGGCATCTCCACGTGATAGCATCACACACACACACACACACACACACACACACACACACACACACACACACACACACACACACACACACACACACGTGCCACATACCACTGATTAAATGATTGATGACCAAACTATTTGATGTTCTGACAGTTGATACCAATTCCAAGAGAAATTAAGACCTCAGAAAAGGTTCGAGTCTTAAGAGAATTTCTCCTTCCGAAAGAGAAAAGGCTGTAGTCCCGAGAGGTGGAAAATGTCCCGTGAGATGGTTTTAAACCTGAGGCAAGGATTTCCACCATGACCCTTTTTATCATTGTGACATCATGTTGTGTGTGTGTGTGTGTGTGTGTGTGCGTGTGCGCGCAGCATGTCAGTCAGCACACGGCCGCTACGCTCACAAGCTGCTGAAAGATTTGCTGACCAACTACACTAACGCCCTGCGGCCAGTGGCGGACACGGACCACGTCATCAACGTGACGCTGCAGGTCACGCTGTCACAGATCATCGACATGGTGACCACAAAGCACACACTGGACACCCCCCCCCTCACCAACGCCCTTCTGTTCAG